CCCAAATGGCAAATGTACAATATTTGATCTAGACTTAACATCATTTTGAACCTTATGTTCTCATACAAAATAATTATATAAATCAGTACAACTCAAACACACAAATAAAAAATTAAACATCTAAAATAATTTTTTTTTGTTTCACATATTTTCATGCATCCCTTTAGTGTACGGACTAAATTAAATGTCAATGACACACATTTTGGTCAATATCTTGGGTGAAAACACCTGAAACCATAGTTTCACCAGAGAAAATATGATTGAAGGAATCATTTAGATTTCAAACAATCATGGTTCAGGGTTCACCTGCGCACGCACGGGAATTGAGTCCCAAGCGATGATAACAACACACATTAAGATTACAAAGGATCATGGGGAGACGCTTGTTTGTAAACATTGACACGCTATGGCCACCTGACGCATGTGTTGGTGACGACTCCCCTGCTTCAAGTTGTAAATCAACACAAAGGACCATTGCCTTTCATCATGATGTGAATTCACTAAGTTACACTGTTTGCTTTTATTATAATCGACACATTATTATAATGAGACACATTGTAATTAGACACATTATGAGACACTTAATCAGATACATTATAATCAGACACATTATTATCAGGCATATTATTATAATGAGACACATAATCAGACACATTATGAGACACATAATCAGACACATTATGAGACACATAATCAGACACATAATCAGACACATAATCAGACACATAATCAGACACATAATCAGACACATAATCAGACACATAATAATCAGACACATAATAATCAGACACATAATAATCAGACACATAATAATCAGACACATAATAATCAGACACATTATAATCAGACACATTATAATCAGACACATTATGAGACACATAATCAGACACATTATGAGACACATAATCAGACACATTATGAGACACAGAATCAGATACATTATGAGACACATAATCAGATACATTATGAGACACAGAATCAGATACATTATGAGACACAGAATCAGATACATTATGAGACACATAATCAGACACATTATAATCAGACACATTATGAGACACATAATCAGACACGTTATTATAATTACAGATTATTGAGTTTTTCTTTCAAATTTTAAGTGTTAATTGTCTTAATTATTTTTCATTCATTTTATGTATTCAGAGGAGCAGAGGATTCTCCATTGTCAGCATCTGATGATGAATTAAAGAAAATTATCCAGAGAAGTACCAAACAAGATACTACTGTGACATATGCATCTAAGTATAGTCGCAGTCCATCCCCTCGATCGGAACAGTGAGTAAAGTCGTATTGTTTGATAGATGGCTTACGATGTTACCTTAGATGTGAATGGCTGCCAAGATCAAGTTTGGTTTGGTTTTTCTCTTCAAATAGTGTTCAATTATGTAACTATCATATTTGGACCAGTGCTGATTTTTGCGGCTGAAAATGTTGCTCTAATGGCGAAGATGAAGATGAAATTTTGTGAAAAACAGTTATTTCTCTATATTTAAATAGCACTTTACAGTTCATGTCCTCATTCTATTGTTCTGTGCTGTTCAATTGTAAAGAGGCTTGATCATATGCAAATGACCTTATCAATATATGTGCTTATAAAACTACTTGCAGAAGGTGATGGAAGTTGACAATGGTGGTGAAAGGGTTGACATGCAAATTAGCTAATTAATATTCATATACAACAACAAATTACTACTTTGTGGAAGTTGACAAGTTATCAGTTGTGTTGAATGGTAGATTATATGCAAATTACCTTAATTAATATGCACATATAAAACTACTTGCAGAGGGTGACACAAGTTTACAATTGTATTGAATGGGTTGATTATATGCAAATTACCTTAATTAATATGCACATATAAAACTACTTGCAGATGGTGACGCAAGTTTACAATTGTATTGAATGGGTTGATTATATGAAAATTACCTTAATTAATATGCACATATAAAACTACTTGCAGAAGGTGACGGCAGTTTACAATTTAATTGAAAAGGTAGAAAACATTTCCCAGCTAACATTACTTCTTATGTTCCTTGTTTGCAGCGAATCATCATCACCTGGAGGATCTCCAGAGAAAGAACAGCAGACGTGGGAGAGACCAACCAGAACACCATCACCGAGTAAGCCATCTCCGGTACGTCAGCTGCCTGCTAAACACAGATTAAATACAGGTACCCCAGAAATATCTAGTCAGCCCCGAATACCTCAAACTCCGAGTGAGAGTGAGTCTGATAGCTCCTCTAGTGATGAATCGGACTATGCTGATACGGCTCAGAAGATACCCGATGTGAAGAAGAAACCTAAAGAAAATAAGGAAAGGTTCCAGTGGCAGCCTCCTGAAGAAGAGGATCTTGAAGAAAGTGAGGAGCAGAGGAAAAGCAGAGTTGATGAGGAGGATGAGTATCTGTATGGATCTGGAAAAGATCCTGAAATTGTTCCACCACCTTTGAAGTACTTTGGTGTTGACCATTCCATAAAGCAGGCAAGACCTCCGCAAAAATATCCTGAAGAAGCAGTTATCTTCACAAAAGAAAATAACAAAGAACTTTCCAGACATCCCATCTCTGAAAAGCCCTTGAGGCTGCCTCTTGAAGACAGAGCTGAAGAGAGAGTACAAAATCTGGTTCAAGGAGTAAAAAAGGATGATTCCGATAGGGTTAAAAATTATGAAGAAGATAAAAGGTCTGGAAGTTATGCTCGACTTCAAGAAGATTATCAGAGTAGCAATCAGAATGATTACAGAAATGATGTGGACCCGCAAAAAACATCCCATTATGAGAGAACAGATGAGAAAAAAATACAAATCACTGTAAGAGAGTTGGGACGAACCAGCCGTGATGAAAATTATCGCCCCAGTCTGAGTGACAATAAGGAGGTGAAAAGGCATTACAATGATGATGCATTGCATGGCCGACAAAAGGCATCTATGAAAGAAGTTGATTCCTTTTCACACAAAGAAGCCTTAGGATTAGCATCTCACCCAAAATCTGTATTAGGGGATAAATGGTTGTCTATAGGATTCTCTCAGGTTGAAACTCGTACTGCTCACGAGGAAGTGAAGAGCAACCCATCATGGGGAGGAGATCAATATGAACATGAGAGGACAGAGGATGCCGAGAATAGAGGTCAGGGAGATGCAAAGCTACAGAAAGAATCACCAAGACATGTGGAAAGAGAGGAAGTTGTTCGAAAATCTTATCCCTCAGCATCAAGACAACATTCTGATAGTGAAAGCCACACAGATAGTGATGATGATAGTAGTAGTACTGAATACAGTGACAGCAGCAGTGATGGGGGATATAGGAGAAGTACTAGACGCAAGAGTCCTGTGCGGCGGAGACGCCGATACAGCTCATCCGAGAGTTCCAGAAGCAGAAGCAGAAGCCGAAGTAGCAGAAGCAGATCACGTAGCTATGACAGAGGAAGCAAGCGTCGCAGAGGTGGTGGTAGACGAGGTAGAAGTAGAAGTCCTGTCAGATCCTTAGGAAGAAGGAGAAGGTAATAAAATTTCACCTCTTCGTGTGCATGCATGCATGCATGCACCTGTCCACACTTGTATTACAGACTTTACACAGATATCATATACCATACCATATCATATACAAATACCATATCTTGGAATACATACGCACATGTATTGTTCAAGATGGCTGATTGCTGGCCATCTTATGATGGTGTAAAGTTTGAAGCATTTACACCATTCTGGAACCAGAAGCTCAGACAAATTTTGTTCACACTCATTACATGCATTTACTTTCAAATTGGTGCATTGTCAATTTGTATTTATGTCAACTTTGTTTATTACATCTCCTGTTGATGCTGTTTTTGTCCAATCTATTATGTTTATCTGTAGAGGGTTTTAGCAGGCAATGTGTTATCATATGCTGTACCAGAGACATATCTATGACATGCCTTGTGTTCATCATGGGATATATGTACACACACACACACACACACACACTTCTATATAAAATTGAAAACAAGCAGGAACAGCTCACAAACTTGTATGACAATAAATATACATATATTTTGTATATTATCGTTGTAGTACTCCTCCTTGTTTGTTAACACTCACACAGTTAGTGGAATGCATTGCGCTGTCTTCTTCTAGGTCAAGATCTCGAAGTCGGAGCCCTGTGAGACGCTACAGGAGATCTTATAGTCGAAGTCCAAGCAGAGAGAGGAGATCAAATAAATCAAGAGATTACAGGTATTCATTTGCTTAACAGTTTATTCCTAGACTTGAAAAGATTGGTGACCTGCCTTAACCCTGAGCATACTGTAAAACATGTCTTTTTAGCGAATTTGGTGAGAGAACAGATTCGCTAATTCAAGATGTTGCTAATGACTTTATTATAAACCAAACAACGTCTTTTTTCTCCACACACAAACACTCTGTAAACAACACAAAGAAAACGTACTGACATGATAGATACACTTTATTGAAAAGTAAATTAACACAAAAGAATAAACGTATTCATTGTCATTATTTCAATGAAAATAAATAAATGAATGAATAAATAAATAACATAAATGAAGTGATACTGATATATAGTTTTTCTTTGTTTTTATGGAAGTGATAACTACGCATTTTTTTTTTTTCACGCGACAGACAAGTATTGTGAAAACAGGAAATCAACAATAACAAGAGGGATTCGCTAAATCAACATTTCGCTATTACGTCATTTTACCACAATTTGTTAAAATTGCATGTCGCTGTAATTTACGTAAGCCCATGCACTATGAATAGAGCAAATAAGGTAACTCAATTCAGAAAACTCAGTAAATATGTTCAAAAATACTGAATGCTGGTTAAAATTACCAGTTTTACAGTATAGCGATTGGTTGGTCAATATTAACATCTCTGGATTAGCCCCAAAATCACTGATGTTATTTTTAGTGCAGGTTGAAACATTAAAGAGCGTGATACTCGCAAATGAATTAGCTCTACAAATGTAAAGAAAAAAATTGAATATTAGATAATGTAAAGTGACATGAAAAAAAATACTATAAATTGCATTTTCCTACATTCTCTCATCTGTAAGCGTTATGTTCTTAGCCTGGACTTACTCTTTAATGTTAGCATATTAATATGTAATGTAGAAAATGAAAACCAGCTAAGCCTGTGATTAGTTTCTTCCTTTCATGTGTAAAATTGCCATTGTGTTTTTGGAAAGCTGTCTTCTGTGGCAGATCAATACTTAGGGAGCAGACCATCTGAACAATCACTATCGGTATATTGACAATCTTTGTGCTTCAGTAGTCCATACAATAACTGCAATCTTTTTTTGACATGGACTTGTATATTCTAGGAGAAGTAGAAGCCGAAGTCGAGATAGATACTACAGAGACCGGAGTCGTTCTAGGTCATATGATCGATACAGACGACGTAGAAGTAGGTCCAGGAGTAGATCCAGAGGAAGACGGTATGTTATATTTTGGACTGTCTATGTTTTGATCATGACATACTAAAAACATTCATGTTCAAGGGTTCTCTTA